GGGGGGGAAATTCCAATCCTAGGATATGGCACCTTTCCTATCTGAACGTGACCCATATTTGTGTGTGTAAAGGAACCTGGCTCGCTGTTCTTCCCCTATTCGCAAAAGAAGGTGTTGTAATGCTTTGTCTGCAGAACTATGGAAGGTCTGGAATCAACTACACTCTGGAATTCAGGTTTTCTGCAGAGGCCGAAAATTCCATTTACTGGGCTGGATTTTCCTCCTGTTCTTCCCCCCCTTAAGTTTTGTAAAGGAAAAAAGAAAATGCACCTTGCTTGAAATAAAAAGAAATGCTTGTTTGCAACCATTGACTATATTAAACTGTGCAATTCTTGTTTTCTCCATTTCTGCATCTCTCTCGATTCAGTCTCCCCAAAGTGATTTTTTTTCTGTTTTAAGCCTCTGTATTTCTGCCACTGTAAATGTGAAAGCTTGCTTGCATTACTTTTTAGAAATGCATTTTGCACACTCGGGTTTCGCTGAAGCTCCGTAAAAAGGTTAGTCCTAAGCAGATGAATAAAGCTATGCACATGTTTTGAAAGTTTAATTTGTGTCTCATTACCAGAAGTGACTTATCTGTTCTTGTTTGCATTCCTGTGCTATCATTGCATACGTTAGCTTTACCATCTCTGAGGGTGTGACATAAGATGGCAGTTCTGTGCTATCAGTCCACTAGCAGAAAACTGGTGCTTCTTTTAGTAGCCTGAGGGTTTTGTTTTGTTTTTGTTTAGTTTAAAAGCCTAATTTAGAGATTTAAGTAGGAGAGAGAAGGGTGTGGTGTGTCAGTTTGCTGGATATATCCCTCCATATCCTTGAGTGAATGTGTCCTTTCTGTTAAGGACATGACGAGGTGTTGCCTCCAGACTAGCTGAGAAGCTGCAGTGTAGGGGAAGGCTGATCAGTTTACACTTGCTGCTTTTCAGTCCCATTTGAAAGGACAGCCCTGATTATGGGATGTTAATTTGAAACTAGTTTAACCCATTTGCTTAGACAAGTGTGGGGTGGACTGTGTAGAGGGAAAACAATTTTTAAAAACCATTTAGTCTTTGCCCATAGTGCAAGGCAAGAGACAGGCTCAGCTGTTTTAATTGCTGCAGTATGCGTGCAGTAAATTGGTGACCTATTGGCCACATTGAAGCTGATGGCAAAAATCTCTTTGATCTCCAGGAAGCCAAGATTTTTGCCCTGTGTCTTAACTTTTGTTTATGCAGATGTGTGGCTGTGCTACATTGGTTTGATTGAACCATCCTTGAAAACTCTTCTGTGATCTAGCCCAGGCCCTTGGTGTGTAGGAGTGGCTGGATTTCATGTTAGACCGTATCCCAAACAGCTTTCTTCCGTGTGCTCCCTTAGCTGTGGCTGAAATTCGTACTCATTTTACAGGAGCTTTTTCTGTACAGAACAGGGCTGGTTTTCTATCTGTCACACATGTACTTACTGCCTTCAGTGGCTCAGGCACCAAGTGGCTTGGAGGCTCTCAACATGTTTACTTAGGGGAAAATAAAACCACAATCCCTCCTGACTATTTCAGTGTTAATGGCACTTTGAAACTCAACTGCATACTACAGACCCAGAAAGTTGGGCTCATACGTGTGGTCTCTCATGGCAGAACTGCAGGAGCACAGCAGGCGGTGTCTTGCATGGATAACAGTCTGCGCTCATATATCTGCCAATAGTTTTCATTTCTTTTCAGTTTCCTGGTATGTATTTTAAAATCACAGCAGATCCTGTCTTACCTGCTCAGGAGCTGAATTACCTCTTCATGTCTAAGAGGGATAGGCCCTCTCTGTTACCGGTGGGGTAGCTATGTACTACCACACACAATGTTAAAGGTCGTTGTTTTCTTGTCCCCTTCCCAATAATTTGAAATAGGCAAAAATATTGTGTACCCAGTTACAAACAGACATTTTCCAGATTGTGGGAGGGGTGGCTAGAGCATTTAGTGTAATACGAAAATACCTGCTATAGCTGTATCTAGTGCAGGCTGTTGCAGCCTCGTATGTTAGAGTGATGTCACGGAACGTAAGGATAGATACTGTCCATGAGCTGTAATGCAGAATAGATCTTTACTGAAGATGTCATACTTCACACTTTAAATGTTTAAAAGGTTACCTTAATTTCATTTATTCTATATTGCACCAACTGGTCTTCAAAAGTTACCCAAATTCACTACTTTATCAGGAAGAAAACAGAAAATTGTGTAGCTCAAATACATTGACGACAATAAGTGATGTAAATTGTTGAATAAAAAATTTAAAATCTGTAGGTGTCTGTGTGTTTTTCTCATTCTCTCTTACGGGGTTCCTTTAAAAAAAAAAAAAAAAAATTCTGGGGCTGATTACTTGAGTTTTACTCTTGTGCATTATCAGGCAATGACATTGCACAAATGTTGATACACTTGATTAGTGAGCCCTCGACATGAAGAGAAGTGGGTCTGTGGATGCAAGCACAGAACCGAGTATAGAGTTGTCCATTACAGAGCTGCCCTGGTGGCTTAGTGCAGGTGTCTCCAGCTGCTAGCCAAATAACATTGATTCATAGATTCCTAGGCCAGAAGGGACCACTGTGCTCATCCCATTTGCCTTCCTGTACAGCACAAGCCAGAGAACATCCCCATCATCATTCCTAGGGCAGAGCTTTTAGAAAAACCTCCAACCTTGACTTAAAAATTGTCAGGGATGGAGAATCCACCATGACCCTTGGTAAATTGTTCCAATGGTTAATTCCTCGCTGTTAAAAATCTTCACCTTATTTCCAGTCTGAATTCCTTGCTTCAACTTCCAGCCATTGGATCATGTTCTACTTCTCTTGGCTAGATTGCAGAGCCCAGTATCAACTATTTGTTCCCTATGTCAGGACTTGTAGACTGGGATCAAGTCACCCTGAACCTTCTCTTTAAGCTAAATAGCTTGAGCTCGTTGAGTCTCACTCTAAGGCAGGTTTTCTAATCCTTTTAATCATTCTCATGTCTCCTCTCTGAACTCTCTCAAATGTATCCCCATCCTTCTGGATGGTGGACACCAGAACAGGGCAAAGGATCCCAGTAATGGCTGCATCTGTGCCAGAGGTAAAATAACCTCTCTGCTCCTACGCCATTTATGCATCCAAGGATCGCATTAGCTCTTTTGGCCACAGCACCACACTTGGGAGCTTACGCTCAGCTGCTGCCCAGGATCGAGTTCGCCATGCTGTAAGTACGGCCTGCCTTCTCTGTTCCTAGATGTGCACATTTAGCTGTATTAAAACACACGCTCTGTGCTTATGCCCAGTTTACCAATTGATCCAGCTCACTGTCTGGTAATGACCTGTCCTCTTCATTGTGTACCAGTCCCCTCATTTTTGTGTCCTGTTTTCTTCAAGGTCATTGATAAAATGCTAAATAGTATAGTGCTAAGAGCCAATCCCTGCAGGATCCCACTGGGAACACGCCCCCCTGATATGCAGTGCTGGTCTGAGCTAGGGTGCCATGCTGGTCAGTAATGCCTAATGGCCAGCTAATGCAGCACTGGTAACAGGTCGAGGAGGCAGGTGGACTCAGCTCAACCTCCTTCACTGTGATGCTGTGTTTTTGTTGCAGTGCAAGGGAAGGAGGACCGAGCTCTGCGGTCTATCACTTCAGGGGAGAGGGGCAGAGAAAAAGAAGTTGAATATTTTGTAGCTGTAGTGCAGCGATGAGTGGATCTGCCCATCATGGAGAGAACTGCTAAAAACTGGGGGAGAACATCCCGTCTGCAGGTCAGTGGCCAGGAGACCAAATCTGCTCCACGTGGTTTGAACACGGAAGGCTTCTGCTGATTGCTACATCATACTTGGATTTTAACTATTGTGACAGACCCAGACCAGTGGGATACAGGAGTCTGGTAGAGGGCAAATATACTGGTCACTGGATGAGTAGTTTTCTGTTCCCTGAGTGACCAGAGCAGGGGCTGCACTAGAGTAATCAGGAACCTGCTAGAAACAGTTAAGGCAGGCAGGCTAATTAGGACACCTGGAGTCAATTAATTAGAAGCTGCTAGACTCAATTAAGGCAGGCTAATCAGGGCACCTGGGCTTTAAAAAGGAGCTCACTTCAGTTTGTGGTGCGAGTGTGAGGAGCTGGGAGCAAGAGGCGCAAGGAGCTGAGAGTGAGAGGGTGTGCTGCTGGAGGACTGAGGAGCACTAGCGTTATCAGACACCAGGAGGAAGGTCCTGTGGTGAGAATAAGGAAGGTGTTTGAAGGAGGCCACGGGGAAGTAGCCCAGGGAGTTGTAGCTGTCCTGCAGCTGTTATAGGAGGCATTATAGACAGCTGCAGTCCACAGGGCCCTGGGCTGGAACCCGGAGTAGAGGGCGGGCCTGGGTTCCCCCCAAACCTCCCAATTGACCTGGACTGTGGGTTCTTCCAGAGGGGAAGGTTTCTGGGCTGTTCCCCAACCCACATGGTGAATCTCTGAGGCAAGAAAATCCGCCAATAAGCGCAGGACCCACCAAGATAGAGGAGGAACTTTGTCACACTATGTTGTCACACTGTTTTCACTGCAGCCCTTTTCCACCATAGAGCTATATTGAGTTGGTTTTGCAAGGAGCTGGGTGTGCTGACGACCTGCCCGCTGACAGACTAATGGCTGCAGTAGCGTGCTTGTGAGAAGATTGCCTAATTCTGAACTCACTGGTGTAAATCTCAAGACACTCCACTGAAGTCAATGGACTTACCTATGTGTAAAGTCGTTGAAAGGAAGGAGAATTGGGCCCAATGTCTTGGCTAGTTGTGATGTGAATTTGAGACGACCTAGTGCACATTTCAATACCCTCTGTTAATTCTGAACACTGGAGTGACAGAGTCCAAACTGTCCAGCAAGGAAAGCTGCAAACAAACATCATGGTAGCATTTTCTTTCAGTGACATTTATTGGTAATTGCAGCAATTAGTACCATGAAGAAGTGATGTCCCAACAGCAGTCACAGTACAAGAAAGGAATCTGTTTTGTAAGGGGAAGTGCTAGCACCATAGGGATCAGTGTGCTTTAGAAATCCAGTGAAGACGCTCTTGAAGGAGGAGAGCCTGTGAACACAAACATCTATTGCTGGACACGCCGAATAGACTGGACCTGGAAGGTCTGGGCGTGTGAGCCCCACTCTCTCCAGTGCTTGTAATCTCCACCGTGATGGTCACTCTCCAAAATGTACTGGTAGCCACGGTAACCAGGATACTGGTAGCAAACCCAGCTGGAACAAACAGAAGAGTCAGAAAGCTGTTGGACTTGGAAAGGGGAGAAATCCCCTAGCCTACAAATCTAGAACTGTCCTAGGTGTATCTTGGTGAATTGCTCACCCAAACCCAGAAAGAAATAGAGCCAGATCATCTGCCTCTAAACTGCTCCTAGAAAACAGGGAGAGGAAAAGACCCTACATGGCACTAAAGAAGAAAGTACACTTTTCTTGTCAAACCGGAGTGAGTTTCCCAGCTTTATTGTGGGTAAGGCATTTGCAAACCATCATGAATTTGTCATTGTGCTCAGATGTGAACCCATGTGCTGCTGTGTCCAACAGGACTGCAGATTGTGGCGCTTTCTGGAGTGCGACCAGCCCTCTGGCTGCTGCAGAATTCCTGCTCGATCTGCTGTTTTTTAAGGTTGCATTCCTCTGAAAAAGAGGTGCTTCCTCTGAGCCCTAGCCCAGGTAGAGCTGTCTTCACCTGAAAGCCCTTGGCTGCCCATGCCCACGTGCTGAGGTACTGATGTGTTTTGAGCAGCGCCACAGATGAGGGACTAAGGAAAGGGTAGAACTGCATTGTGGCCTGTAGGATGAATTCTGCATATTCCATTTCAACAATGGAGATGGCCCTTGCTTGGATAGCCTTGGCCCTGCCTACATTAAGGAAATTTGCAAGTTGATGGAGTTAAACTAGAGCAAGCCCCTAATGCAGACATGGCACTGGCAGAAAAACAGGGTGTCCCTAACCCAGTACCATACCCAAGTTATCTACACCTGCTGTGCTCCGGCCAGAACATCTCCAGCAGGGGTTGTGCCAGTGGTGGAGCTGTGCACTCCCCCAGCAGGACAGGCCTGTCCTTTAGGAGACCCTGCTGCGACAGGGAATCTTACAGCCAGCCTCCTGCTCTCAGGCCTCAGGTGCGCTAAGCCTGCGTGTCTCACTTACGCGCCACACTGCACCTTCATGGAGCCCACTTCGTTGTTTCCCCAGCCCATTGCCTGCAGGGAGGGGTAGTCGTCCGATAGTTCCCACTGGCGTCCCATGAAGTTCTCCTTCTCAAAGACTGTCATCTTGGACTCCTTGTGATTCTGGGCCACGGGAATAGAGCAGACATGAGAGGGAAGCCAGCAGCATCTTTCAAACAGATTGTGTGGTGGGAAACAGGCAGCTCCTAGTGCTGGGCCCCTCGCTCCAGACACTCACCCTAGGTTCTGACCCCCAGTGACCGGCTGTCTCACATCTATTAACCAGGATAAGAGATCCACGGCTGAAGCAGAAGGTATGAAAATGTTACGCTAAAGAAAGGGAGGTGCGGCCATCTACATCCCCTGCCCTGTTGCTCAGGGGCTCGGATACTGCAGCGATGGACAGCCAATGGTTCTGCACTTCCCTTTCCAATCACAGCAGACTTTAGCAGCCCCTGGCTGTAGCTTGCCTTACAACTCTACAAAAACGACCCAGCTAATCGTAGAACCAAGGGGGGGGGGGAATCTGAGTGCATCTGAACCCCCCTCGGAGGTGCCTTACTTGCCCCTAGGGCCCAGCCGTGCTGCACAATCACGCCAATGGGGGTGAACAGCCAGGAGAACTGTTCCATTGAGCCTCCATGCTTTACCCTAAGCTTACAGCCCATCATCAGCTTAGCCCTGCCAGCGGTGGTGCTGCATACACTCCTGAGAGCTGGGCCGTGGGCTCATCCAGCACCACACTTCCATGTGTTCTACACAGCACAGAGAGGACACGTCGAAAGTCTGTGGGCGATACCGAGCTGGGAGGGGTTGCAAGTGCTTTGGAGGACAGAATTAGAATTCAAAATGATCTGGACAAACTGGAGAAATGGTCTGAAGTAAATAGGATTAAATTCAACAAGGACAAATGCAAAGTACTTTCCTTAGGAAGGAACAATCGGTTGCACACACACACAGTGGGAACTGACTGCCTAGGAAGGAGTCCTGCGGCAAGGGAGCTAGGGGCTATCATGGATCACAAGCTAAGTATGAGTCAACAGTGTAACTCTGTTGCCAAAAAAAAAAAAATAGAAGCAAATATCATTCTGGGATGTATTCGCAGGAGTGTTGTAAGCAAGACATAAGGAGTAATTCTTCTGCTCTCCTCTGCTGATTAGGCCTCAACTGGAGTATTTGTGTCCCGTTCTGGGCACCACATTTCAGGAAAACTGTGGACAAATTGGAGACAGTCCAGAAGAGAGCACCACAAATGATTCAAGGTCTAGAAAACATGACTTCTGGGGGAAGATGGGGGGGAAAAAATTGGTTAAGTCTGGAGAAGAAAAGACTGAGGGGCGATGTGAGAACAGTTTTCAAGTACTGTACATAAAAGGTTATGAGGAGGGAGAATTATTGTTGTTCTTTACCTCTGAGGACAGGACAAGAAGCAATGGGCTTACATTGCAGCAAGGGAGGTTTAGGTTGGACATTAGGAAAAACTCCCTAACTGTCAGGGTGGCTAAGCACTGGAACAAATTGCCTAGGGAGGTTGTGGAAGCTCTATCATTGGAGATTTTTAAGAGCAGGTTAGACAAACACCTGTCAGGGATGGTCTAGATAATATTTATTCCTGCCTTGAGTGCAGGGGACTGGACTAGATGACCTCTTGAGGTCCCTTCCAGTCCTACCATTCTACTTAGCTGCAGTGACTGACCATTTTTAATCAGAGTGGTTGTATTTG